AGTTCTTATTTTTGAATATGTGTATAAATTGATAAAGTCTGATTTTAGGAGTTACACAAATTCTCCTATTTTTCATTCCTAATTCACCAAGTATGTGATGGACTAGAGTAATATCATTATATAGATTTAGGGCTTTCTTTAATTTCTTATTGGCCATGTTGCAGGTTGACACCAATTTTATTAAATCCATATCATTCAGGTAATGGCATACATAATTTGTAGTCATATTTATGTAATGTGCATTTTATTCTTTTACAGGTCATTGATATTTCATACAAGTTGCAAGGGAAAAGCTGCTAGTGGTACTCCTTCTCCTTAGCTTTCTCATTTGTTGTAGATTTAATGGATATATTAAAAATTGATCCAACTTCAAGCATGTGTGTTGTCTAACTAGCAAAATTTTCCTAGTGTACTATTTCTTAAATGAATTTAAATTTGTCTTCTATATATTGTACATAGAACATTTTTATTGATGGTTAAGGTTTGGTATAACTAGTTTAGAACATTTTTATATTGGTGACTTGGTTGCTTGCTTTATATGAAGGGTCTCCTATGTCGACGCCGTCGCTGTTCTTAAATACTAGCATTTTAGGAACTTAAGTACTTGGTGCTATTTAATGTCATGTGCACTTTATGGACTTGGTAGTTTTTTTGGTCATGTGGACTTTAGTAGTAATGTTGATTTTTGTACACATATCTACCTATTTTTTGCTATATTGATATGTATGTTTAAACATAATGATGATCACTATATATGTTTGGTTGAATGGTTTTCTTATTGTATTCTTATTTTCACTATTTAATTTATGAAATTATTGGGTTTTAACATATTGTTGTGAACTAATTGGCATCAAATAGGTTTGGATCATCCTTGTCCTGAGATATTTATGTAATGATAATGGTAGTAAAAATTGCAAACTCATATTTTTCATTTATGCTTGTAGGTCTTGGGACTACTGTTAATGCTGCCAAACCAAAACTTGGTTCTTCTGCTGCCATCTTTGGACTTGGAGCTGTTAGCCTTCTTGTATGTGATCCTTATGCCTTTGTTTGTTTGTGTGTGAGAGTGACCATTGTAATTTTTATACAACTGATAAATGGCCAATGTTAACTCTTGCTCGTATCATGATGTTTGATCTAAATTGTAGGCTGTTGAAGAGGCAATGATTTATACTGCATGAATAATTATTGGGTTTGATTTAGTTTCCATTGGAAAATCTTAGACTCAATTGTTGAAGGTGAGTTATAAGCATCTTTTAATTCATCACTTTCCACCCCATACAATAGTGATGCCTTTGCTTGTCTGCATGTCTAAAAATGATGAAGTAGTGTTCCTGGTAAACTACTGGAGTTCCAAAGTTGTTCTCTATAATAGGAGATATAATAGAATTGTTAAGCTGATATTTAGCCTATTATATTGGGATATTATTTGATTATGGGCACACTGATATTTAGCCTATTATATTGGGATATTATTTGATTATGCACAAGTCATGTAATCAGTCATATATTTGCATATATTTAGGTGTAAATTATACGTAGGTATAATAGCTGTCATAAGATAATGCGGTGGCATTATCTGGAAACAACACGCAAATGGTGCTGCCTGCACGTGTATATATATTTGTTATATATCCAATGAAAGAGACAAGACATTCCAATTGAATATCATTCTTGTCATGGTATCAGAGCAGTGATCATTGTTAGATAAAACATTGATACTCTAATTTTTTCTCATGGCTGCAGCAGAAGGAACGGTTATAAGGAAAACGATCTCTCCTTATGACGTTACCGCTAATGACAATCCTGGAAGCTTGATCACTCAAGTGCAATTGAAAGGTGAAAACTATGATGAATGGGCCCGATCAATTCGAACTGCTCTACGAGCAAGGAAGAAGTTTGGCTTTGTTGACGGCACTATCCAAAAATCGACAGAAAATTCTCCTAATATTGAAGACTGGTGGACCAACAACTCGCTTCTAGTCTCTTGGATCATGAACACCATTGAACCCTCCTTGCGATCTACCATCTTGCATATGGAGGTGGCACAAGATCTTTGGAATGACATCAATGAGCGTTTTTCAGTTGCCAATGGACCACGCATTCAACAACTTAAGGTTAAGCTTGTTGAGTGCAAACAAAAAGGCATGACCATTGTTGCCTATTATGGAAAACTGAAGAAACTATGGGAGGAATTGGGAAACTTTGATCAGATACCAACTTGTTTGTGTGGCCTCTGCACTTGTAATTTTCATGCAGTGCTTGAACGAAAGCGGGAAGAAGAGAAAATACATCAATTTCTCATGGGTCTCGATGACACTACCTATGGCACAGTTCGATCCAATCTTCTTGCACAGGACCCATTGCCTAATTTAAACAAGATTTACTCCACTATAGTGCAAGAAGAGAGGGTTCATACTGTCTCCCGTGCCAAGGAAGAACGTGGTGAGATGATGGCATTTGCAGTACAAACGGGAACTCGTACTCGTGATAAACGTGAAGGAAAGGATAAGAACACGATCTGTGGTCACTATCATCGTTCTGGACATGATTCAGATAGTTGTTTTCAGATTCTTGGCTATCCTGACTGGTGGGGTGATCGTCCATGAGGAATAGGCAAAGGAAGTGGGCGTGGAAAATCTGGACAACACAATATCGAATCAGCTGGCAAAGGACGTGGACTCATTAAAGCTAATGTAGCCCAAGTTGTTGCACCTGTTGCAGGGGCTTCTGCTGGAAATTCAACAAATTCTGGCACTACTGATAATGGACTCACTGGTGAGCAATGGCAAACACTGGTCAGTCTTTTGAACAATGTCAAACTAGGCACTACTGAAAAATTGAGTGGTAAGAACCTTACTTCATCCTGGATTATTGACACGGGTGCCTCCCACCATATGACAGGACACTTGGAGTACCTAACTGATGTGCAAACTCTTGTGGATTGTCCTGTGGGACTTCCTAACGGTGAACATACAGTAGCTACCAAGGAAGGGACTGTGATACTCAATCACAAACTGAAATTGACTAATGTTCTTTTTGTGCCAAGCTTACATTGCAACCTTATTTCAGTATCACAATTACTTCATGAATCTGATTGTGTAGTGCACTTTACTGACATGACTTGTGTTATCCAGGACCGTACCTCGAGGATGCTGATTGGAGTGGGTGAACAAAGAGAAGGGCTATATTACCTTAGAAGAATAGTCACTGCAGCCGCCATGAAAGCCAAAAGTGAAACTTCTTATGATTTGTGGCATAAACGACTCGGTCATGCCTCCACCAAAGCTATAAACATGCTTCCAGTTACTGGATTTGTTCAAAATAAAGACTCATGTAATCAAGTTTGTGACATTTGCTTAAGGGCAAAACAATCAAGGGAAAGTTTTTCTATTAGTGAAAATAAATCAATGGATATTTTTCAATTAATTCATTGTGATCTATGGGGTCCTTATAGAACTCCAGCTTTCAATGGTGCTCGATATTTTCTGACTATAGTTGATGATTTTTCTCGAGCAGTTTGGATTTATTTACTTGTTGACAAGAAAGAAGTTTTTCCTTATCTAAGCCAATTCATAACAATGGTGGAACGTCAGTTTGCTAAACAAGTGAAAATAATTCGCAGTGATAATGGGACTGAATTCACTTCTATGGGAAATTATTTTCTTGATCGTGGCATTATGCACGAAACCTCTTGTACAGGCACTCCACAGCAGAATGGGCGAGTAGAGCGCAAGCATCGACATATCCTCAATGTTGCACGTGCTTTGTGTTTTCAAGCCAACTTTCCCCTTGAATTTTGGGGTGACTGTGTTCTGACAGCGTGTTATTTAATCAATCGCACTCCAACAACTGTATTACATGGCAAGACACCTTATAATTTATTATATGGTACGCCTCCCTCTCTTAATCATCTTCGTGTCCTTGGTTGTTTGTGCTATGCTCATAATCAAAACCATAAGGGAGACAAATTTGCTAGTCGAAGTTGAAGATGCGTGCTTGTAGGATATCCTTATGGTAAGAAAGGATGGAGATTATATGATCTAGAGCTAGGCACTTTCTTTATTTCAAAAGATGTTGTCTTTTGTGAAGAACAATTCCCTTTTGCATCCATCTTCTCTCCTCATTCATCTACCACTTTAGTTGCGGCTCCTTCCTCTTTGTCGTCTACCGAAATGCTTATAGATGATGACCAACCTCTTGGCCCACCAGCTGGTACTGAAATAACATTTCTTTCCTCACCCGACCCTACCTTACCAACTGCTTCCTCTCAAAGTTCTTCATCTTTGGATGCTCCACTCATCATCACAGAAAGCAATAATAATGACGACAGGGGGGATCTTCAGTTGTTGATGATATCGAAGATTTAGGTCGTGGTCACCGAACCAAAATTCCTTCCACCTTGCTACGTGACTATGTGACTAATACAATTTATAAGGTTAGCCCTTCACCACGTTCATCTACCCCGTCATGCTCCTTAGGTACGCCTTATCCAATAGCTCATTATGTCAATTACACTAACTTTTCCCTGCCCCATAGACATTTTTTAGCAGCTATAATTACAGGCACAGAACCACAAACATTTTCTCAAGCTGTTAAGGACGAAAGGTGGCAGCTTGCAATGAAACATGAAATACAAGCTCTTGAGAACAATGGTACTTGGTCTATTGTGTCTCTTCCCCCTGGACAAAAGGCTATTGGTTGCAAATGGGTGTATCGGATCAAATATCACTCTGACGGTTCCATTGAGAGGTTCAAAGCTCGACTTGTTATTTTGGGAAATAAACAAGTCGAAGGACTGAATAAATTATTTAGAGTAAAGGAGATAATTGAAAAAAAAATAACTTTTAATAGCCTTTATAATGGCTACTAGAATTGCCACTAAAAAAAATAAGTTTTTTCGACAATTTAGTAGATCTTTACCGGCATTTTATATAAATGTCCTTGATATAATCAAGAGGTTACAGATCAACATACCCTTTATAGAGGCTTTAGAACAGATGCCCTCTTATGCAAGATTTATGAAGGAGCTTCTGACAAAGAAGAGAAAATTGAGCGAGGATGGAACAGTGGAATTTGAGGCAGGTTGCAATGCTATAATTCAGAAGTCACTTCCACAAAAATCTAGAGACCCAGAGAGTTTCACTTTGCCAGTTACCATTGGCAATCTTTCTGTGGGGAAAGCATTGTTGGACTTAGGCGCTAGTATCAATCTTATGTCTTTATCTATGTTACAGATGATATGTGAGGTGGAGGTGAGACCTACCACGATGACTCTGCAGCTGGCTAATAGATCTATAAAGTATCCTCATGGCGTTGTTGAAGACCTCTGGGTTAAAGTTGATAAATTTTGGTCCCCAGTTGATTTTGTTGTCATGGACATGGAGGATGATTATGAAGTTCCTCTCATTCTGGGACGACCATTCATGAAGATAGCCAAGGTCATCATTGATGTTGATGATGGCAAACTCAAGGTTAAAGTGCAGGACGATGAAGTGAGTTTTAATGTCTTTAAAGCCATGAAACATCCAAGTGATAAGACAGGTTGCTTTAGAGTGGATGTGATTGATGAGTTATGTATGGAAGCTCAAAGAGAATTCTCAGTAGCCATACCATTAGAGAAATCATTGGTGAATGCAGTCAGTGAAATCAATGATAAGGAAGAAAAAGAAATTCACAAGTGTTTGGAGGAGTTGGACAAAGCAAAGGAGATTTCTCCTAATTCTACAAGTGTGCAAGATTTAAACAAGGAGGAAAAGTCTCAACCTCAAAAGTTAGAACGGAAGCAATTGCCAAGCCATCTCAAATATGTGTTTCTAGAAGCAAATGGTGGCAAACCAGTCATAATCAGCAGTTCCTTATCAATAGAGGAGGAAAAAAAGTTAGTTGAAGTTTTGTAGGCGAATGAAGGAGCTATTGGGTGGACTTTGTCTGATCTACAAGGTATTAGTACTTCATATTGCATGCATCGGATCTTGATGGAACATGACTATAGGCTTGTAGCACAACCTCAAAGGCGCCTCAATCCAACAATGAAGGAGGTGGTTAGAAAAGAGGTGATTAAGTTACTTGAAGCTGGCATGATTTATCCTATCTCCGACAGTGCATGGGTTAGCCCTGTTCAGGTGGTTCCTAAGAAAGGAGGCATGACAGTGGTGATGAATGACAAGAATGAATTGATTCCTACAATGACTATCACTGGTTGGAAGATGTGTATTGATTATCAGAAGTTGAACCAAGCCACAAGGAAGGATCACTTCCCATTACCCTTCATGGATCAGATGTTAGAGAGGTTGGCGGGTCAAGCCTACTACTACATTTTGGATGGTTATTCTGGATACAATCAGATAGCAGTGGACCCGAAAGACCAAGAGAAGATAGCATTCACATGTCCTTTTGGTGTTTTTGCATATAGGAAAATGCCATTTGGATTATGTAACGCACCAACCACATTTCAAAGGTGTATGCTAGCCATATTCTCTGATCTTGTTGAGAAATGTATAGAGATTTTTATGGATGATTTTTCTGTGTTTGGAGCATCATTTGATACATGTATGGAGAATCTAAACACTATATTAAGGCGGTGTGTTGAAACAAATCTGGTTCTTAACTGGGAAAAATGTCATTTTATGGTGACAAAAGGAATAGTGCTTGGCCATAAGATTTCTAGAAGAGGTATTGAGGTGGATCCAGCCAAAGTTGAGGTCATCTCTAAGCTTCCTCCACCAACAAATGTAAAAGGGATCAGAAGCTTCCTGGGACATGCTGGATTCTATAGGCGGTTCATTCAAGATTTTTCAAAGATCGCCAAACCGCTTAGCAACCTCCTTGTGAAAGATATTAAATTTCACTTTGATGATAATTGCTTGTCTTCTTTTTCATTATTAAAACAAAAATTGTGTTCAGCACCTGTAATCACTAGCCCTTATTGGAATTTTGATTTTGAGCTAATGTGTGATGCTAGTGACTATGCAGTAGGTGTTGTTCTGGGTCAAAGGAAAAACAAGATTTTTCATGTCATACACTATGCAAGTAAAGTTTTGAATGAAACTCAAATGAATTTTGCAACCACAGAAAAATAACTACTTGCAATAGTGTATGCACTTGAGAAATTTCGTTCTTATTTGATTGGTTCAAAAATTACTGTGTTCATTGACCATGCAGCTATTAAATATTTGCTAACTAAATCTGATTCCAAACCAAGGTTGATAAGATGGATTCTGCTGTTACAGGAATTTGATTTAGAAATAAAAGACAAGAAGGACTGTGAAAACCACATTGCAGATCATCTATCAAGACTAGAAAATGAAGAGGTGACCATACTAAAAAGTGCAATCCATGAGGAATTTCCTGATGAGAAATTATTCTCTGTGCAAGAAAGGCCTTGGTTTGCTGATATGGCAAATTTTAAGGCAGGGTTATTCCAGAAGATCTCAATTGGCAGCAGAGAAAGAAATTCTTCAAGGATTCTACTTACTATGTGTGCGATGATCCTTATTTATTTAAGATTGGTGTTGATGGTTTGTTAAGAAGATGTGTTTCAGGTGCAGAGGTTAAGGATATCTTGTGGTACTGCCACAATTCACCTTATGGAGGTCACTATAATGGAGATTGTACAGCAGCAAAGATTCTTCAGTCCGGATTTTACTGGCCTACTATCTTTAAGGATTCTCATGAACACTGCAAAAATTGTGATAAGTGTCAAAGAACTGGAGGAATTTCCAAAAGACATGAGCTGCCTTTGCAAAACATTCTTGAAGTTGAAGTCTTTGACTGCTGGGGAATTGATTTTGTAAGACCACTTCCATCTTCTTATTCTAATGAGTACATTCTGGTTGCTGTGGACTATGTCTCTAAATGGGTGGAAGCAATGGCAACTCAGAAGGCTGATGCACGAACAGTGATCAAGTTCTTAAAGAAGAATGTTTTTACCAGATTTGGAACGCCGAGAGTGCTCATTAGTGATGGTGGTTCTCATTTCTGCAATACACAGCTGAAAAAGGTGTTAGAGCATTATGGTGTGAGACACAAGGTAGCTACACCTTATCATCCTCAAACAAATGGACAGGCAGAGGTTTCTAATAGGGGGTTGAAGAGAATTTTGGAAAAGACTGGTATGGGTTTACTCAATCATCTTCTGACTATTCTTTTTTTTTTTTTATGAATTGTGGTTCTGTTTGACTTCATGTGCTAGTTTATGTCGATGATCTTGTTGTTGCTGGAAATCATAGTACAGCTATCATAGCGTTCAAATCATACTTGAGCATTTGTTTCCACATGAAAGATCTTGGCCCCTTGAAGTATTTCCTGGGCATTGAGGTGGCCCGTAGTCCTACCGGATTTTTTTGTGCCAACACAAATACACCCTTGACATCATTTCTGAATGTGGTCTATTAGGGGCTAAACCAGTTGGTTTCCCTTTGGAACAAAATCATAATCTTGCGTTGACCACTGACACCCCTCTCTCGGATCCTGAACGTTATCGACGTCTGATTGGATGTTTAATCTATCTTACCGTCACAAGACCTGAACTTTCTTATTGTGTTCACATACTTGCTCAATTCATGCAAAACCCATTACAAGCACATTGGGATGCTGCCTTTCGTGTTGTTCGCTATCTCAAAGGTCACCCCGGGCAAGGTATTATCTTACGAAGCAATTGTGATCTTCAACTGTATGGTTGGTGTGACTCTGATTGGGCTAGTTGCCCCTTAACTAGACGTTCCCTTACCGGGTGGATTGTCTTTATTGGGCAATCTCCTATATCTTGGAAGACTAAGAAGCAACAGCTCTTCCGCTGAAACAGAGTATCGCTCCATGGCCACTAATACTTGCGAACTCAAATGGCTTAAAGCTCTCCTTTCATCGCTCGGTATAGATCATCCACGACCTATGAGACTCTATTGTGATAGTCAAGTTGCCCTTCATATTGTTGCCAATCCAGTTTTCCATGAACGTACTAAACACATTGAAGTCGATTTCCATTTTATTCGTAATGAACTATTACACGGCAACATCATTACTCAACACATACCTACCAATGCTCAATTGGCTGATATTCTCACCAAAGCACTAGGCAAGAAACAGTTTGATAGTTTTCTTCGCAAGTTAGGCGTCCAAAATTTGCATGCACCAACTTGAGGGGGGGTGTTAAGCTGATATTTAGCCTATTATATTGGGATATTATTTGATTATGGGCACACTGATATTTAGCCTATTATATTGGGATATTATTTGATTATGCGCAAGTCATGTAATCAGTCATATATTTGCATATATTTAGGTGTAAATTATACGTAGGTATAATAGCTCTGGTAAACTACTGGAGTTCCAAAGTTGTTCTCTATAATAGGAGATATAATAGAATAGACCATACTGAACATTTCAGGGGTTGGCGATTCTCTTGTTATTATTTTGAAAGTTTAGTTTTGCTAAATTAAGTTATCCTTTTCTTATATGAATTTATCTTAAATAATTAGCTTAGAGGTTTTAGAGGCGCCTTTGCCATTTTATATATTCATATATGGAAAGGTTAGATAGCATGAATAATTTTGGTATTGCTTTGTTAGATGACTCTGTATTGGCTATTGCTCCTAATTTTATTAGCTTTCATTTTTTGCTTCTCATCATAACCAATGCAATGCAAATAAAACTCTTTTTTTTTCTTTTCAGAAGTCTTGCCTAGCTAGTATACCTGAAATCTGTAGTCCTTCAATTATGAATTAGCTGATTCACTTGCGTACAAGATTGGTTTTTAATACAACGTTGCGTATCAAATTCATTAGAAGATAACATTAAACATTTGTTTGTCATTCTTCTTTTCTAACTCTTTCATTCTCTCGTACAAATTAATACTTCATCCTATATGCCTTATACATAGTTATTAATATATAAAAAATAGTAAAATTTAGTCGCATAACCATACATAAGATCTTATAGTTATTATTTGATCTTGTCATCCCTGTCCTGAAATATTTATATAATGATAATGGTAGTAAAAACTGCAAACTCATATTTTTCATTTATGATTGTAGGTCTTGGGACTACTGTTAATGCTGCCAAACCAAAACTTGGTTCTTCTGCTGCAAGGAAAAACAACTGAAGATAATATCCTGGAAGAGAAATCAGAAGTTGATTAGTTTTGGTACTTTGAGAAATCAGAAGTTGATTAGTTTTGGTACTTTAATTTCATGTAGCTAATAGTAATGTTTAGAATGCTACGCACTCAAACTACAACATCCCATATGTACATGCACTAAAATATAATTATATCTCAACTGAAGTGAGAATAATTCTTCAAAACTTGCATTCATATACTATAATGATCTTAAAAATAATGTTCTAAGATGGAAAAGAATTAACTTACATACAGATCAATAGATGTGATAGGTTTGAATCATGCTGGTGTAATTCCTTATTTTGTATATTGTATCTCACTGTATTCCAACACAGAAAATAGTTGCATTGTGATGCTCACGGGTTGTTGATGTGCATTGGCTGATACTAAAGAATGATCAGCCAAACACAACAAAGGTTAACATTAAATTTTTTAAAAAAATGGTATAGCGTCAGCCAAGCCCTTATTAGGCTGACTCTAAAATTAAAAAATAAACTACTCATAGTGTCAGCCAAGCCCTTATTAGGCTGACTCTAAAACAAAAAATAAATAAATTTTAGTGTTGGCTAAGCCCACAAAAACCTTATTCTACGAATTTAACTAACATAACTAATTTTAAGTGTCAACTTAGCGGACAATAAAATAATAATAAATAAAAAAAATTATGTTAGAGTCGACTTTGTTAACGCTAAAAATATATATTTTAAAAAAAAAATATTATTTACTGTCGACAATGCCGACACTAACTAATTTTAATTTTAAAAATATTGTAATTTATTGTCT